TATTTTATGTCGATTACGGATCTTTATCGAACAATCAACCAATTGATACCATACCAAAATAATAGTCTATATTAAGTATATTATTACGATATATTTTTATTTATATTATAACAAAAATTAAATGATGTAGAGTAAAATACTCAACGGTAATAAAATGATAGATGTTTAAAATATATTTTAATTATTACAGAATTAAAACTAGATATAAGAACGTATAATTATGTGACAAAAATTAGCTAGATGAAATCAAAGGTCAAAATGCTTCCTTTCCTGTTCACTGTATAAAATGATTCTATTTTCGAAAGATCGTTTCATTTTATAAGGCATATGTGGAGTTCTACTTCGAAAAGCAGCTACAATATTTTTCTCATGTTATCAACAATAGTTGGTCGAGTTTTGTAAACACTGTCTTTAACATATCCCCATAAAAAGCTCTGACTAGATAAATCAGAAGCATTTAAGTATTTTATTAATTGATGCATGCACACTGCCATTAACCAATAGAATCATATCAATTCTCTCTAATAAGGTTCCATTTTCTTCATTTTTAAGTTGGACTAATTAGATAGCTATGTTTAAGTAACGTCAGACATATTACAGCCACCTAGATTTTATAAAATAATAAAGAGAGAGGGAACTTGCTTTTATAGGTGATCAATGTTCAATATTAATTTGGTCTCACCCTGTATAACTTTTTGTTGCAAGTTTTAATTTGATTTAATGTACAATAACTATTTTAACTGCATATTAGGCTATACCGGGTAAGTACCAATTTAGGTAGCTCTTATTGAACTTATTGAGCAATTTACAATAATTTTCTTCCTGTGTGCTTTCAGTGATTTAAATGAAATTTTGGAAATAAAAATTACCACAAGTGCTATATATTTTAATGCGTTTATATGGGTTATACGGTGAATATGGGTTATCAGTAAAATATTTTTCGGAAAAACATGTGCGCCACTGACTTTTTATTTTCTTAACAAAATTGTTGTAGACCGATTAATGCCGATTAAAAGTGGTATCTTGATATTTTGTCGATTTTGATTTCCTTGATAAGATTCATTTTATTAATCACATTTAATGAAATTGTAATAAAAATATAATTAATAATTTATTTTTGTCTAATCTAATATTACTAAATTTTATAAAAATTTATAATAGTGCTGTTCAGTGCTACTTACATCAAATTCATAAAAAAATAATGGTATTTTAGATAATTACAAATGAACTATTTTTTAAAGTTTTAACATCCTGAAACTTACCAGCGCTTTCAGATGGAGCGGAGCGTCCGCGCTGTTCGTCCGACGGCTATATTGAAAAAACACGCGAACGAACACCGCGGACGCTCCGCTCCATCTGAAAGCGCGGTTACGGGGTTAAATTCATATAAAAGTAATGGTATTTTCGATAATTACAAAAGAACTATTTTTTAAAGTTTTAACATCTTGAAACTTAACAGCGCTTTCAGATGGAGCGGAGCGTCCGCGCTGTTAGTCAGCGTATTTTTTCAAGATAGCCGTCGAACGAAATCATCCGGACAAAGCATACGCGATCCATGTGTAATTCATCCATGATCCATGAAAAAAATCATATAAACTCATGGTACTCGCTCGAAGTCGCGGACCGGACGGTCCGCTCTATCTGAAAGCGCTGTAAAACTATGCCTTTCCGCACTCATATTTTTTATGAAGAACTAATGAGTACTTATTTAACAATATGGCCAGTTAATGACACTAAAGCTTCATTCAGAACCTCGCAATTAGTGGAATAAATTAATGGTTTCAATAATTACACTTTATACTTTTTAGTTTACGATCATTCACAATGTCTAAAAAACACAATTAAAATTAATAGAATATCCTAACAAATGCTTGCGGCAATCAGTTGTATCCAAAGAGAACGACTAATATTTCGCTTATAAAACGATCAACTTTTGATTTCTAACCACAATTTCTCTTGACAGATGAAAGACCAGAATGAGATTCCTCGCAAATTTTGAAATATAATTAGTGGAGTAGTTAAAAGTTTGTTAACTTTGTCTACTAATTGAACATGACTACCACTAATGTTAACACTCTAAATACTTACAATGAAATTAAAGAAACAAACTTCTACGCTAATTGAAACTACTGTTACTTTATTCCAATAATTGCGAGGTTTTGAATGAAGCTTAAACTTGTTTAAAGGTTGCTATTAGACTTGGATTAAGGCAAATTTTAGAAACATAATCTAGTGATAACCCATATGCACTTCCCTGGTGAACCACTGAAAACATTTGGGTGATTGAAAGGAGTTTTGAAAGAACATAATAAATAAAAAAAGACTTTAACCTACTGTAGTTACGAAACAAAGCAAAATCGGACCTACGTTGATATACAGTACGACTATCGGGGAAACAATATTCTCTGGATGTTTCTCGTAAAAAACTAAACGACGCACATTGGTTCAGATTCAATAAAATCGACGCATAAGGATCAAGAAAAAAATAACAACAATGATATTATTTTCAACAGATGATGGGTCCATTTATTCAAATTTATCACGATCCACTTTTTAATCGTAATAAAAAAGCGTACAGGAATATTGTTTTCGTTAGATTTTGTAGTTTAAATATATCAGTTATTTGCTGATAATGGTTTAGTGTTGCTAATATATTTTGGTTCTTAGTTCAGGGACTTGGAAATAAATTAAATTATAATGGATTTTGAAGACCAAGGTAAGTACTTTTTAAGAGAATTTTATTAACTTAAATATTTTTTTATGAAGCTAGCTTACCACAAACATAGCAGAGCGTTCTTTTGAAAAAAATTAAACTTTGAAATTGCGTATCTTTAGAACTCCGCAGATCTCCGCTTCTGTATTTTATAATTTTTAAACGGTATTATACCAAGTTTAATTTACCACAAGTATCTTACCCCAAGAGACCCCGTGGTAGATGATATAAATAAATAAATAAATTAATAAATAAATAAATGCCTTTATTGTCAAAAAATTTTTCAATTTTTAGACAAAGGTAAACTAACAAACAAAGTAAAAAAACAAGGTACACAAACAAACAAACAAAAGATAATACAAAACATTATACAAATAATATTGTCAGTCTTATTGTTAAAATAAACATTTATAAATGTTTATAATGTCAAAGAACAAAAATAAAAATAATATTCAAAAATATTTAGCTAGTTTATAGTAAAATATCAATGACCTCTAAATAAATTCATTTCGATGTCATTAGTAAATATAGCAATAGCAAACATTAGACCAGTGTTTACAAGATCAAATTTGATTTTCAAAATATAATTCATTTACAGCGTAGAAAGCCTTGTCTAGTAAATAAGAGTTCAATGCTTTGCGAAATGAAAAAAATGATGTTATGGATTTGATTTCAAATAGCAGGTGATTGTGCATTTTTTTCGAGTTGTATAATATTGAACTTTTAACTAACTCTGAGCGTGGGGTAGGTAGATAAAGATCTTGCTCCGCGTTCCTGAGTGGATAAGTGTTAATATATAAATTAAAATTTTAAATTGACCAGTAGTCTGATTTTTGTTCCATGGATAATTTCTTAAATTATTATACTAATATTTTTTGAGTAACTCTGGAGTGGTAAAAGTGTAACTACAGATACTCACATGTTCCTCCCGTACTCTATTCGTTTTATTATAGGAACAATAAGCCGCAGATCAATATGTGAGCGGTTTTTGAAAATGGGTTTTAATAATAGGTCAGAAGCGGATATTATTGATGAAATTATTTCATTTTTGTGTGATAATAATATTCCTAACATATCGAAAAATAAGCAAATCGAAAATTTTGTATATTGTGGTCAGAAAAGTGGAGGAAATGTAGTTACACTTGGAGCAGTTTTATTTCCAACAATTGTCTCTGGTTGAATAAAAATTTACTTCAAATGGAAGAGAATCAATCTTTTGATGACCCTGGCCCTTCAAGAAGATTTTTTTTTTAGAATTGTCCAAGTCCCAAAAAATAAAGAGACCAAAGGTATATTGCCAAGGAATTAATTTATAATGTCTTACAGAAAAAAACATGTTTTTTTATCTACATAATGCTGCAAATATTGCATTAATGCTTTTAATTAATGGCAAAGATTAAAAATCAATTTATTTCTAGAAATTAGAGATTCTTACACCTCGGAATCTCGTTTCTAATTTAAGGAAGGAACATAACAATGAGACGGGAAAAGCAGTCTAACTAGGGTTTGAATTTCCAGAGAAACTAGTCGCCACTAAAAATAGGTGAAGATTTACCCGCAGATGACATTCATATGGCAACAGAATATTATTGTCAATCAGATAGTGAAGAAGAACTAGAAGAAAGTCGTGGTGAATCATGTCATGAAGAAAATGAGTTTGAAGACTCCATTTAACGCATATTGCAATTTATGTTTTTTTCTTTAATTTAGACCAGATAACCTAATGGGTATTCTTTTTTTGACTAGGTTCGAAGCATTTTTGAAACCTTTTTAAAAACTATAATTTTTGAATAAAATTAATAGAAAATCCCCCTTTTTTAATATTTTTGTACTAAACAAACATAGTCTGAAATATATTTTGTTTATTCCTTGGACTATCTTTGTCATGTTAATAAGTCCGCCATTAAACCTAATAAGTCTAGAATTTGTAATAAAATTTAAAATATCCTATGCGCCACTTTTTGGCAATCTGAACCACTGTGCGACGCGTCCCATCAATACAAATTCGACAAATTTGCAAGTAGCCAATAAAATGAATGGGCGGAGTGTTTTACGGTGACAAATATATTGCTGTTTATTTAAATGTTTCTTGTCCGCAGTAGACGTACTTTAAAAAATAAATCTTATTTTTAGTCAGAAATCCCCTCACTGGAAATGGCATATATTTTTTAAAACATCCTGTATACTATACTGTAATAATCCCTGGCGAAAGAATATTGTGAAATATTACAAACACCCGAATAAAGTGGTATCAGATTATTAATAGTAAGTCTACTAATTGTTCCTTACCCATTATAAACAGTGTTCGTGGCCTCGATAATGAGTCGCATGTCTCAGTCTACAAAAATAAGCGCGCTACGTTAGTTGCACCGCTGATAATTTTAAGTACAACACAAATATAGATGCGATTAGATGTATACACTGTTTTTATAACTCTAGTTTAGTTTGAATCTCAACAACGGTTATCATGAAACTAGCTGTATTGCTAATAATATATTCAGTAATTTTAAACAGTGCGTACAGCCTAAAACTCCTAATTGTATTTCCTGTACCTGCAAGGAGTCATTATATATTAGGAAATGGTTTAAGTAAAGGTTTGGCAAACTTGGGACATGAAGTTACTTTTGTTGCTCCGTTTTCTGAACCAAACCCACCTAAAACTTTAAAGCAAATAGTGTTGAAGGAACTTGTTGAAGCAAGGAATGGTGAGTATTACATTAATTTTTATTTATTACCAATATAATATCCGGTATAAAATATCTTCTAATGTGTAAGACAAATGACAGAAACGATATAGATTATGTAATTTCATTATATTCAAACAGTTTTTAAACATATTGCATAAAATATATTACTTTAGAATCAGATACTGTCTAATGTATTTTTCTAAATCATTGGAGAATAATATACGAATATTATATTACCTCTACAAATAAAATACACTGATAAACACGATAAAAATATACAGGGTTATTCACAACTAATCGATTCGAAGTATTATAGCTAAATGATTAGATTTTTAGAAAACTGGGTCGTTGAGAGACTACTAAGGCTACAATGTAAAATTATTTTCTTAAGAGTCCATTTCACTAGTCCGAAAAACTAGCAAAAGAAGCGTTCGACATTTAACATTTTATACCGGGTGGGTCTAAAAAGTGGCTCACCCCTATAACTTTTTATTTTTTCAGATAAATAAACGAGATTTGGTATGTTAGTATATGACATAAATTAGGATTGATTGGTGTATTCAATTGTTTTGGTCATCGGAAATTACTACAACTTTTGATTTTTAAATTGCACCCTCGGTATTTTTTTACTTTATTCGATAGAAAATAACATTCTGAATAGAATGACATATATCATATACCTACCTATGTCAACTTCATTCTCGCTTAATAAAAAATTGTATTTTAAAATTCAATCTAGAGTGCCACGGCTATGTTAAAAACACTAATTCGTCATCAATGAGCCTTGGAAAAATAGATTTGATCGTCTAATGTTTTTAGTGTCTTGTCCTGGCCAGTTAGAAAATGCTCAAGTCGTATTTTTAATCATATCTCATTTTTTTCAAATGGAACGAGGGTGGCTCATTAGCATATTTGGAAAAAGCATTTTTTTATGAATAATTTAATACCACACACTTGGTATTTCAAGTCAAATTTTCGTTACGAACCGCAATTTATAATTTCCATATGCGAAAATGTCAAAAGTTGACATATGATATGTCATTCTATTCAGGGTGACATTCTGAAAGGTGTCATTTAAAAATCAAAAGTTGTAGTCATTTCTGGCGAAACCGGAAGTGACCTAAAACAATTTAATACGTCAATCAAACCTAATTTATGTCCATATACTAATATACCAAATCTCGTTTTTTTAACTAAAAAATAAAAAAGCTATAGGGGTGAGCCACTTATCAGACGCACCCGGTATATAAAACTGGCTAGGTATTTTTAGATAAATAAAGAATAAAATGAATTTTAGATAAAGAATTATACTATATGCGTATTGTAGCACATTTTTAGACAGTTTCTTCAGCTCAAAATCTTAAAAATAATTTTAAGATTTTGATGGTCAAACCTCAACAAAATATTCCTTATGTTTGGGCTAAATTATCTCGAAAATGAAGATATAATTTTAAATTCCGTTACAATACGGAAATAGATTGAAGTTTTGTGATTACAGTGATATATAATTTATATAGTTTTGTAACAAATTGCTCGTTGTTTTATGGCAAATATTGAAGCTCTACAAACCTTAATTAAGCCTTATTCAAAGCACGTGTTTTGGAATTTTGGGTATGACCAAAGAATATTATATTGGGCTCGACTAGTCAGCTATTATATACTTTGGACCAGCCAAAAATTGGGCAGCTCAGAGTTTGAACGTGTCAATAAATTGTAAGAATTCATGTTGTTGACGAGTACAAAAATTTGGGTGTAGTGTTCGACAGCACACTTCGATTTCGTATTCAAGTATCAAAAGTTCTCCAAAAAGCCTATATTAATCTCCGCAACATCTTTAAAAGCAAAGATGTTCTGAACTTTGGGTTAAAAAAAATTATGCGAAGCACTTGTCTTAAGTCATTTGAATTACTGTAATTTTTTATATGGATGTTTCTACTAAATTCAAGTTGCAAAAAATTCAGAACTCTTGCATTCGTTTTATTTACAACCTCAAACGTAGTAATCACGTGAGCCACAAACTTCATGATATAAAGTGGCTAAATATATCGGATCGACAAAAACTTCATTTTGCTTGCTTCCTGCATAAATTAATTAAATCTGAGCCCCCCCTTCATATTTGTTTGAAAAACTGACACGTAGCACTATGGTTTCTAGAAGCTACTTTTTTGGCCAAAATTAACAAATTTCATTTAATAGAAAATATTGACTGTAAATTTGTGTTTTTAATAAAATAATAAAAGACTAATAAAATGAAGTTATTTTTAATCTTCTCATTCAAAGTGTGATTAACTTTTACCTATGAAGCATCTTCTGCATCTAGTTCCAAAAAAGAACAAGTTAATCAATCATCGAATTACTGCTGTCCAAAAAACAATCTTCTGTAGAAATATCTTCTTGCTCTTCTTCTTTTTGCATTCTTCTTCTTGGTCTTCCTCCTCGTACTCCTCTTCTTTTCCATGCTTCTCTTCAAATTGTTCTTCATTTAACTTCTTTTCGATAAAGTCAGGTACACGAAGTAGGTTACGTACATCCGCAGGATAACTAAATTTATAAAGTAGCCTACTCAAGTAAAGTATTTTGCAGCCTGCACAAGTAAAGTCCAATCCTGCTATGTTCCGAATTGCTCCGAAAAAGGTAATCGTGGGCGGCCGGCAGATGATGTGGATGGAAGGATTAACCAGTCATCATTTTGTTTTAAAAATAAATCTTTAAGCCGCGAAGCCGCCTGCCATCTTTTTCAAAATTTATACAAAGGCGATTTATCTTTTTTTCATTGTGCCTGATAGTTCTTGTTCATTACTCTGAAATTTATGTCTTACAAAATTTGAAACATACCCGTTTTTCTCAACTTTATCGGCCCCTTGTAGCCATTTTTTCAAAAGATCTATTTTTTTTTCAATCGATACATAGCTGAAAAAAAAATTCTTTAAAAAAAAAGTTGCAGCTAGTAGCAGCCAATTTTTTCTTTGGTATGTTTACAAAAGGATTGTTTCAAATTTTACAATAACATCTAGCATGGAGAAACATGGAGAATTTTTTATAAGTCAAACTAAACTTTTAACTTTTTATTTATGTTCTGTCTTAAACTCAGTATTTTTAATTAATTAAAAAATAATGGACGCTGATTCTTATGTGCAATTGTTAGTGATTTCTTAAAAATACATATAATAAAGTGTAAAAATCACAGCAATCCGTTTTTAAATCCCACTGAAATATATCACTTAATATTCACCAAAACTCTTCCAAAAATAAACAACAACTGAATAACAAATACTTCACTAGAACGTCTAAATACTCGTATAAATGCTGTTAAGGAATACAAATTCAAACTAAACAAAAATATATGCCTGTGGCCTTCTTCATTTGTATATCTGCTTGCATTCCAGCTACAAAAAAGTCCATATACAGTGAGTCTAAAATATGTATTTTGGCCAATAAATTAGCTTCTAGAAACCATAGTGCGTAGGGAATATATTCATCCACGCGAAACTCGTTTTAATACGCACTATCAAATACCCAAAATTAATAAAGTCATAACCCAAATCTGCTTCTCATATACATCAGTTAAACTGCATACCAATATCCCATTATTAGTCAATCAAACAATATATCGTTTTGCACATTTAAATCAAAATTTAAAAAGCATCTTTTACAGATAAATAACTAGGTGGCTGTTTTTTTTGTTTCTTTTTTGTTTTTTTTTCGTAGTATATTATGATAGGTAGATAATATCGTGAAACTTTTTATTTTTATTGTAAACTTATAATTGTATTTTTTTTAATGCTCGGTTAAACTAACAGCTCAGCTGAATTTCGCCGAGTTAAAAATAAAGGCGTTTTTATTTATTTATTTATTTACTATAATTTGGGCTCGAATTTGGTTTGGGTATTAAAATATTCTTTGGTATGGCTTGACACGACACGATCGGCTAAGCCTTAGGCAGATTTCTGAAATATAATATAATATATTTTTTTCGGACACACACCTGCTTTACCCAACCCCTGAGAGTAACCCGAACAATACAGCGTAATATACTCTTAAGTTATTGAGTTTTCAAGTTTTTTAATTCCTGTTATTCTATCAAACTGTTTTACCGACATTTAACTAGATTTTATGTAATTTTATATAATTATATAATTTTAACGCTTTTATATAATTTTTATGATTTTATGTGTGGTTGGCGTGTATCGCACAATATCCACTGATATGTCCATGTAATCAAGACACTGGGGAAAACAGTGACTTGGATCTGTGATTTGTTTTCGACTAATTATTGTTTTCTTTTCGACAAATTTTTAAGCTACAGTATCCTTCTCCTTGCCTTAAAAATGGGCATACCAATGTTGTCAATATGATTCCTATTTGTAGGGGACGCCACCTACAAGTGTTTTAACTACTTTGAAGAGTAATGTAATAACTTTTCGTCCGTACCTGTATAAAACTATTGAAAAAATATACATTTCCGTGATTTTATACGTAAAAAATGTCTCTTGGTAAAAATCGCTACGAGCAACCGTTCTCAAGATATTTAGAATGGAAGTAGTCAATACGTGTCATTATTGACTAAAAATAAACATGATGAGTAGATAGTTATTTGACCTGAAATGATAAATTTGGGAAGTCTTTATTTTTTTAAATTAAACATAAATTTGTGTAAGAAAACGCAGACGATGCAGCGCTCGTCTGCGGTGATGAATAGGGAGGGCCAGTCTATAGACCGACATTGATTGTACCATACGAATATTTCTGTATTCTGTTACGTTCAATTATTATATTAAAATACTCTTGTTTAAAAGGTATTTCAATAATAAATAACCCATAAGTCTTACATTTGTCTTCGAAAAAATTATCATAAAACAGTTTCTGTTGAACTTTAGACACAAAAACATTTCAAATTTATGATTTCAGTCTAATAAATATTTAATCAACATGTTGAATTTGTCAATGATGACAGGTATTGATAATTTTGAATCCAAATATCTCGAGAACCATTACTCGTAGCGATTTTTACCAAGAGATCTTTTTTCGTAAAAAACGTTGTAAATGTACAGGGTGTCCCACTAAGAATAGCTCTCGGCTGTATCTCGGAAAGTATTAGCCCTAGGGGCTGCGGAAAAAATATTTATAACTAAAGAGGCTATGGGAAATTGCTGGAAATTATTTTCAAGTTTGTAGAACGACCGCTAGGGGGCGCAACAAAAATAAGAAAATGAAGTTTTTACACAATTTTGCCTAGATAAGGTGTGCTATAAGTAATAGCTTCATAATTTTCAGTAAATTTTGAATATTTTTTGTTAGAGCCATTTTCGCCTATCTACCAAAGTAAATTGGTGGGGAAAGGTTAGATCTATTTTTATTTAAATATTAATAACTCTGGACTGGATCATCGGAATCCAACAAGCGAGGGCTCGTTTAAAAGAGCGTTTCTTATTCTATATTGTACTATATAAAAATAATAAAAAGCTTTTGAACGTAGGCGCTAGGGGGCGTTGTCTTACAATTTAACAAACATTACGCGTTTTTTTCAAAAAAATTAAATGCAATAGTATGTGTAATTTTAGCTGATAGTAAAGAGTAGTAAAAGCTTAAAAAGTCAGCGAAAACCGCATCCAAACCAAACCAAACCAAACCAAAGCAAAATTATAATAAATACCAAAAAATAAGCACTTAATTACCTTATTTTTACAACACGGTATCAGTAGCCCTCTTAATTATGCCCATTCTAGCAAAAAAAAATACTGAGTTTAAAATCGACAGAATACCTAGTCTTAGCAGCGTTTTTTATCTTTTGATTGCTTTTTCAAAATGCCTTTATTATTTGAACTAGTTGAAGTTGTTGGCATTTTGAAAAAGCAATCAAAAGATAAAAAAAGCTGCTAAGACTATCAAAATGTTTACCTAATAACAATTTGATTAAGTATATAATAGATAAGAAATTGTTAAACATTTTGATAGTCTTAGCAGCTTTTTTTTAGCTTTGTATTGCTTTTTCAAAAATGCCAACAACTTCAACTAGTTCAAATAATAAAGGCATTTTGAAAAAACAATCAAATAGATAAAAAGCTGCTAAGACTATCAAAGTGTTTATCTAATAACAATTTGACGTTTATACTATTACGTCAAAAGCAACTTTTTTCCAAAGCCTACCATGACTTCACCGAATCATCGTTTCTTGTTCACTGTTATTAATATCTTAATTATTAGATATTAATACCTTTGGTATTATGGTATTCTGGTATTTCATCGATTTTGAAAAACTAACTGTTTCTATCTTATTTCTTTGTTAGAATGGGCATAATTAAGAGGGCTACTGATACCGTGTTGTAATAATAAGGTGATTAAGGGCTTATTTTTTGGTATTTATTATAATTTTGCTGATATCTTCGGCTTGAAAGAAGATATCAAGATTCGGTTTTCGCTGACTTTTTAAGCTTTTACTACTCTTTACTATCAGCTAAAATTACATATACTATTGCATTTAATTTTTTTGAAAAAAACGCGCAATGTTTGTTAAATTGTAAGACAACGCCCCCTAGCGTCTACGTTCAAAAGCTTATTATTATTGCTTATTGTTAATCTAACCTTCCCCCACCACTTTATTTTGGTAGATAGGGGAAAATGGCTCTAACAAAAATATTCAAAATTTACTGAAGATTATAAAGCTATTACTTATAGTACACCTTATCTAGGCAAAATTGTGTAAAAACTCCATTTTCTTATTTTTTGTTGCAGTTGCGCTCCCTAGCGGTCGTTCTGCAAACTTGAAAATAATTTCCAGCAATTTTCCATAGCCTCTTTAGTTATAAATATTATTTTCCGCAGCCCCTACAGCTAATACTTTCCGAGATACAGCCGAGAGCTATTCTTAGTGGGACACCCGGTACATTTTTTACACATTAGTTTTATACAAGTACGGACGAAAAGTTATTACTCATTAAACCAGTTAAAAAATATGAAGGTGGTGCCCTCTACAAGTAGGGGTCATATATACATCAAAATCAAATTTCTCATGTCAAAAAACTCCCAGACACCAATTTTTATAAAATATTGACGTTACTTCAGAAATTATTTGGAAAAAATCGAAATAAAAATGATATTTGTATTCCCTGTATCTCCAAAACTAAGCATTTTAGAACGATTTATACGAAGTTTTTTACTTATTTTTATCTGCAGAATATTCTGCCGAGGTTTCCGGAATATAGTTTGGACCACCCTGTATATTATCATGTTGTGTTTGTTTTATTTTAATAAATTATGCATTTTTTTATATTTCAGAGCAACCCCCAAACATGTTTGAAATGGCAGATATTTCTCCCTTTTTCCAAATTTTCTTTTTAAATGGTATTAGTAGCATAATGATTGATTCTTTCCTCAAACATCCTGAAGTTCAAGAGTTGTTGCATTCGAATGAAAAGTTCGATGCTGTGATACTCGAACAATTTATGTCTGATGCCCTTACCGTACTTGCTCATCATTATAATGCTCCCCTCATAGTATTCAGCACAATAGGCCCCAACCGATGGGTTAATAACTTAGTTGCTAATCCTGAACCAGCTAGCTATGTACCTGACATATTCTTAAGTACATCCGAACAAATGACATTTGCTGAACGTGCCTACAACCTGTTTTTCACTATGGCATCTCAGTTAAACTTGTATTATATAGTTTATCCCCGCCAAAAACGGATTGCCGAGAAATATTTCCCTGGCCTAACTGACTTTGAGAAAATACATACAAATGTGTCATTGGTTTTATTGAATTCTCATGAGAGTATAAGTCAACCGGTACCACACGTACCTAACATGATCGATATAGGCGGATACCATGTTCAACCATCCAAAGCGTTACCGAAAGATTTACAAGATTTTATGGATAGCGCTAAAGAAGGAGTTATATATTTTAGCATGGGTTCTAACCTAGTACCATCTCTAATGCCAACAAGAACAAAAAATGTAATATTAAAAGTATTAGGATCGAGGAAAGAAAAGGTTTTGTGGAAATGGGATGAAGATCAATTAGAAAATAAACCAGCTAATGTAAAGATCTCAAAATGGTTTCCACAGCAAGACATTCTAGGCAAGTATTCTATGAAAACTAGGTATTATTAGTGTATAATAATACAACTATTCCACGTTTTATAAAACGGTGCTGTCGGATTTTTATTTTATACAATGTTTGAATGTTTGCGGTATAATAGGCTTTTTTAATCTTATCTCAGACCATCAATATTTTAGTAATAATATTATATTATCTATTGAAGTAATTCTCTCAACTAATGATAATGAATAATATTTGCTTATAAATACAGGGTTGTTCATCACATACGACACGGAGTATTGTGTATTGTAACTAAACGATTAGATTTTTACTAATTGTAAATTTTAGGTTCGTTAAAGGGCTATTAGAGCTACAATTTAAAAATATTTTTACAAGATACTGAGTGTCCCAAATAAGTAAAAATGTAATAGTTGTATTTTTTTTAAATAGAACACCCTGTATATTATTCTATTTTTAGATTCTATGATTGAAATAAAGGTAAATTTGATTAAGGTTTATCACACTTAACCTTACCGTTTTTGAAATATTTTCAATTTTGTGAAATTGCAGTAAAAGTTTTAAGGCTTCATGTCTCCAAGGATATCAAAGTTTTTAATACTAAATATTTACTAAAGTTTATTTATTGATCAGTTATTGTGTTGCAATAACAACATTAATACTACCTCATACTGAGTGTCTAAAAATTTATTTTAAATAATGTCAAGCTTTAAACGGCAATAACTTGTTTAATTTAAATAGAACACCCTGTATATTTTAGGAGAATCAGATACACAATTTAATTCTCTATTAAATTGTACTACACGATTTTTTACCTATCCCCTCAAGTTTTCGTTGAAAATGCATTTTCTTATATTTTAGACTTCATTTATCAATATACCCATGGATTATTGACATTTTAGATTGTTTTTAGAGCAATAAATGTACAAAATGTATAGGTGCTAAAAACGATAATATTATAGCCCATTTGTATACAAAAAGAAAATTATTTAAATCTTTATAAAAGAGTATACCATTAAATAAATATACCACCATTATTCACGCCCAAATATTAATTAATTACCTACTTGTATATAAATTATTCTAAATAAATGTGGATTTGAATCAAAAATCAATATAACAATAAGTTATGAAAATGAATTTTAATTAATTAATTCGTCAAAAATTGAAATAACATTTTTAAGTTGTTACTTTCTACCACACTGTCTAATACACATAAAAAAATTCAAGTTTTTAGTATTTGGAGCAATTATTATAATCAACGCATACAGTCAATTAATGTAGTTTGAATACTGGAATCATATTAATATTTCCCCTTTAACAAATATATAAACATTTTTTTTAATGAAAAAAACGAACTATATCGGCGATATTAGAAACTGTACTCTTTAAAAATTTGTTATATCTTCAAAAATAATCTAAAATGTCAATATTCCATGGGTATATTGATAAATAAGGTCTAAATTATAAGAAAATGCATTTTGTACGAAAACTTGAAGAGATAGGTAAAAAATGGTATAACACGATTTGAGAGACACTTAAATTGTGCATCTGATTCTCATCAAATATATAGGGTGTCTCCTGAGTAACCGTATGATCGAAAAAAAATTAACGTCCAGATGGCTTTTAAATGACACTTCCCATATAATTCATCAAATAAAATGATAACGATCTTAATCCAAGCCATGTCTGACGTCGTTTTCTTCCGATCATAAGGTACTTATATCGTACTAGCAAGAAATTATGCATTTGCTATATTTATTTCTTAATACATTTTATACAGCTCATCCCAACTGCAAGTTATTTATTACTCACGGTGGTCTTCTAAGTACTACCGAGACAGTGACTATGGGAGTACCTGTACTGGCATTTCCCATTTTTGGAGACCAAAAGCTAAACGCCAGAAGGGCGCAATCGCTGGGATTTGGTAAAAGTCTGGAATTTAGCAGTATTACTGAGGAGGAACTGGCCTCTACATTGAATGAGTTACTATCAAATCCAAAGTAAGAAATAATGTGTCTTTATTTATTGGAATTACGAGTATGCTGCGTGATCGTTTGTCAGAATTCATACTCTTATCATACTCAGCAAACAATCTATAATTGGATTCCTTCCCCAATGTTTATTTTTTCTTGTATGTAAAGTTATTTGTATCTCTTCCATGTGTTCCGATTTTGTGCCTCTTGTACTTCTACTAAAAATTCTTATAGTTTAAGTATCCGCCTGATGAAATTAACTTTTGATCTTAAAATATCAATCTAATAATCACCTTAGCCAGAAATTTTATATAGTAAGGGCAATGAAAAATAGAGTAGAATGTCATCAGAATTTTTTACCTAGAAATTTAAAAATATTATATGTTTTTTTTAACAATGGTTACCCATAAACTATTTTAAAACGAATAATATTAATTACCATTTTTTTATGGTTCAACTGAAGATTTTGGAGACAGATCACGTACAGAAGTATTCCTCGTATAGGCGCTCTGTTGCATAAAATAATACCACTTTTTAAAGAATATCCTGACATAAAAACTGCGAAATATAATACTCTCTCCATTGATCCAAAGATCCATCTAGGTATTACTGGACGTCTTGTTGAGCTGAATAAATATATACCACAAGGTGCAATTCTACAGGGTGTCATTGAAATGGTGTAAAAAAAATCGGGGGGTGATAGTACTCCTAAAAATATAAAAAAAGTTGCTATAAGTATAGGGCGCAAAATGCATATTAAGGGAGTTAGGGGCCCTGAAAGGGTGAATTTAAAAAACGTTTTTTTTTGTAATTCTAGGCTTAGAAAACGAGATAAAATTTAAAAAAAAAATTGTCTGCCATAAATTCTGATCCTAAATCAAATGGTGACACTGAAAAATTATTTGGAAAAGCGGAAAGGGTAGTTTTTGCAAGGGTAAGGGGTTGTTTCGTGAATAACTTTTTTGAGGTTATTTTTTTTGCAACGTGGGTTCATTTTTTGAAAACTACATACCCTTTCCTACAAAAAAGGTACTCTTGTTGCACATCGCCCAGAGTGATGGTTTTCGAGAAAATTGAAGGCAAAGAGTTTGCTCTGATAGGTTGCTAACTGGTTCTTCTTCTTCTTGTGCCTTGTGCTTAGCCGCACGTTGTCTGTACTCTTCATACAATGTGTAGAGTGCCGTTTTCGGCTCTTCGAAATATGGTGGCTGCGTCGCTGATGCTACACCAATCCCGTATGTTTCTTAGCCAGGAATGTTGTTTTCTTCCTGGGTCTCGCCGTCTCTCTATTTTTCCTGGTAGAATCAGCTTAGGAATGTAATATTTGTCTCCTCTAAGGATATGGCCGAGGTATGAGACTTCCGCTAACTGGTTAATCAACATAAATTTATGAAAGTTATGGCGGTTCAAAAGTAACCAAGTAGTTATTAAATAATTAATTGGAATATCAAAATTTCATGATTTTTAAAACATCTTTTTGCTTTAAAAACGAAATAAACCAATTACCAAAATTCCTTATTAAAATAACGCTTTCCTTAATTCATTCATAGTAAATGTTCAAAGTGACCACCATTCATTTCAATGCAGACATCTGCTTTTCTTCTCCAAAGTCTGCGTACCCTGTGGAATATCCTTGGTGTTGTCCGAATTTGATTGGAACCGTCAATAATGCGTTGCCGTAGTTGCTCTTCAGTATTAATCGGTACTGAGTAAACCATAGCTTTGGTATTTCGTTTTTTAAAGCAATAAGATGTTTTAAAAATAACGAAATTTTGATTTTTCAATTAATTATTTGATAGCTAATTGGTTACTTTTGAACCGCCATAACTTTCATAAGTTTATGTTGATTAACCAGTTAGCAACCCATCAGAGCAAACCTTTGCCTTCAATTTTCTCGAAAACCATCACTCTAGGCGATGTGCAACAAGAGTACCTTTTTTGTAGAAAAAAGTATGTAGTTTTCAAAACATATATATCCACGTTGTAAAAAAAATAACCTCAAAAAAGTTATTCGCGAAACAACCCCCTACCCTTGCAAAATCTACCCTTTCCGTTTTTCCAAATTATTTTTCAGTATCACTATTTGATTTAGGGTCAAAATTTATGGCAGAGGATTTTTTTTCAAAATTTTATCTCGTTTTTTAAGCCTACAATTTCAAAACAACCGTATTTTAAATTCACCCTTTCAGTGCCCCTAGCTCCCTTAATATGCATTTTCCGCCCTATACTTATAGGAACTTTTTTTACTATTTTTATTAGTACTATCACCCCCCGATTTTTTTGACGCCATTTCAATGACACCCTGTATACCAGATATTGAGAGGGTACTATTATTAGTTAGGGTATAGGTAGACTTTTCCCTAACTCTTAAACAAAAAATGTTAATTATTAAATAAATAAAAAACATTAAGATTAAATCGATCTACAAACAACATTCTGAGAATGATCTACAACATTCTGAGAATTCGAATAAGGAATTGAATAATGACGTGATAATGACAAGACAAGTGACATCTGTCTAAAAAGACAGCGAATTAGAGTGACAATTTGGTTATGTAAAATTTAGAGTGACAATTTTGATTATGCAAAAGAAATACTGGTTGCCTAACGAATAATATTAATTAAAAATAAACCTCCAACATGAATAATGAACAAAACATTTACACAAAAACAGACCACACAAAACAAATTGTTGGTTAGTAGCAGTTAGTAGTAGTCAGAGATATAGATGTAGTAGTATTTTGGTTTAATGGTCACAGATGCTAGGCTATCCGGCCGAGTAATAGAATTATCGTTTTTTAATAAAAATTAAAAAAACCTAAAATTATAAAGCTATAATAGTATACAGTTTTATATTAACTCTAATTTATTTGAAGTTTATAAAAAGCATTCATAAAAAAATATATATCCTTCAATTTAATAGCTGTTAGTAAGAAGTTTCATTTCAAATTATGCGCACATAGTGCGTACACAGTTTTTTTTAACTACATCTTTTTCTTTTATAGGTATAAGAAAAATGCGAAACTCAGATCACAACTTCTCCAAGATCGGCCGGTAAAACCTATAGAATTGGCAGATTATTGGATAAAATATGTTGTGAGATATGGAGGAGCACCACATTTAAGAGTGGCTGGTATTCGTTTACCTTTTTACAAGTATTGGTTTTTGGACGTAGTAGCAGTGTTTGGTGGTGGCTTCGTTCTCTCAATTTATGTGCTAGTCAAATTGTGGAAATACAGAAAATATAATCAAGCTAAAGAGCAACTAGAAGCGAGTTCAAAGAAAAAGAGGCAATAGACTGTTTAATTTATGTATTATTTTATTTATAATAAATTGTTAATACAAAATTATTTGTTTTAATAACAGCAATTTGGCTTAGCAATTAAGTGTAATATAATTTGTAATAATGTCCATGTTTCTGGAATAGGAGACAAATAATTTAAAAGATTAAATAATAATAGCTAAGTTCATACCGAATACCGCGTAATAGTAAAATGAGGGTTTTTTTATTAATTTTATGGTACGGATGCCTGAATGTTTGAATGATTTGGAATGATTGAGACTAATCGATTTGACAGTTGTTATTTGGTCTCTATATTTTTGTTAACATATCGATTCATGTATTTTCTATTATATCATATTATTCTGCTAGATTTCAATATGCTTTTTCCAACTGCTTTACGTTCATTTTCTTTTCTACAATGTCTAGTATGTCCCTGATTTGTAGTAACCTTCTATTATACAATATATTATACTATTTTATATAGAAGTATAATACAGGGTCGTCCGAACTGTATTCCACAAACTTCGGCAGTATATTCTGCAGATAAAAATAAGTAAAATGTATAAATGTATGTCTTAAATTGCTTAGTTACGGAGATACAGGGTGTAGAAGTTTCATTTTTATTTCAATTTTTCCAAATAATTTCTGAAGTAACGTCAATATTTGGATGAAAAATTATGAATGGAAGTTTTTTGATATAAGTAATTTGACTTTGATGTCCTATAAGTAGGGGCGCCGTATTACTCCTATATGTAGGGGCGCCGCCTACAAATAGGAGTCATATTGACATCATTTCCGTGATTTTTTCCGTAAAAATTGTCTTTTGGGAAAAATCGCTACGAGCAATCGTTCTAAAGATATTTAGAATGAAAGTAGTCAGGGTGTAGAAGTTTCATTTTTATTTCAATTTTTTCCAAATAATTTCTGAAGTAACGTCAATATTTGGATGAAAATTTGTGAATGGAAGTTTTTTGATATAAGTAATTTGACTTTGATGTCCTATAAGTAGGGGCGCCGTATTACTCCTATATGTAGGGGCGCCGCCTACAAATAGGAGTCATATTGACATCATTTCCGTGATTTTTTCCGTAAAAATTGTCTTTTGGGAAAAATCGCTACGAGCAATCGTTCTAAAGATATTTAGAATGAAAGTAGTCAATTACTGACAAAAAGAACATATTGAGTAGATAGTTAATTGACTGAAATGATAAATTTTGGAACTTTATATTTTTTTCTAAATTAATCATAAATTTTTCTTCGAAAAAATGATGAAAAAACAGTTTCTGTTGAACTTTTGACACAAAATCATTTCAAATTTATAATTTCAGTATACTAATAACTATTTAGTCAACATGTTTAATTTATATCAATGATGACAGGTAATGATAATTTAGTTTCCAAATATCTTGAGAACCATTACTGGTAGCGATTTTTACCAAGAGACCTTTTTTACTTATAAAACGTCGTAAATGTATATTTGTTTACTCAGTTGTTTTATATAGGCACGGAAGAAAAAGTTATTACTCTTCATATCAGTTAAAAATATGTAGGTGGCGTCCTCTACGACTCCCAGAAACCAATTTTTATACAAATATTGTCGTTACTTCAGAAATTATTTGGAAAAAATCGAGATAAAAATGAAACTTCTACACCCTGTATCTCCGAAACTAAGCATTTTAAGACATACATTTATACGAACTTTTTTACTTATTTTTATCTGCAAAATATGCTACCGAAGTTTTCCGAATACAGTTTGGACCACCCTGTATAATAATATACCTACATCAATTTGAAAACTAATAAATATTAAATTAATTTTAAACAAAAAAAATAATTAAATAACAAAAAGCCGAGCAAAAAGCTTTGCGAATAGGAATTGCTGAAATATATTTTAAAACTGACAGTCACCATAATGTCAAGAAAAATACGAACAACAGCAAGAAGATATTTATAATAAGTACTATTATTATACTCACATGTATGTATTTATTATATATTTTTTCTTTAAATTTTTTTGACTTTTTTATTATATTTTAAGTTTTTAAATTCTTGGTTATAAGTATTTAAAAAATAAAAAACAAAAGATTTTTGGTTTACATTTTCTTTAATGATTGACGTGTAAATTAAGCCATATTTATGTTCTTTAAATTAAGAAATTATCGAATATCGAAAAAAAATAGTTATGTTTTTTTTGGGAAGTAGTTTTACAATTGTTTCAAATTCAAATAATGCAAATATGTTACATTTGCCCTGTCTATATAATTATGTAAAGAAATATTTAAAATTTATCCTGGAAAACAATCTATCGCCATCTGTGAAGCGAGAGTAAAACTGACATAGCTATAGGAAGATTATCTACTTTCCATTATTAATTATATTTATGAAGATAAGATAGATGGTGAGAAACATAAATAATTTATTATTTTTGGTATTTAATAACAATATACCACGTTAAATTTCATTTATTGACTTGTTATATTTCGATTTACGAACAGTAGTAGTTTATATACTGATATAAAGTTAAACCTTAGCATTTTGTGATTAGAAACAATTCTAATAGTAATTTTAAAATAGCTTCTCCTTTTATAGGAGTGGCTTAATAGGTCATTATGGTTGGTATCGTTCTATTTTCAGTATTTTAGTATTTTAGCAAGCTTTCACAGCAAGCTTTACTGACGTCGGAATATATTCCAGTATATAAGTTTGACATGGTAAATATTTTCTATATTTTTCGCACAACAATCTATTAGAAAATATTAAACTTATTTGTTGCTAGCTAGGTCATTTTCAATATTAGTATTTTAAAATGCACTAATTTTAATGTAAAAGATATACAGCATGTCTCCTATAAAATGCACTCATTTTGACGTAAGAAAAATTTATACCACATGTCTCAAATTTCAGATGTAAGGCCATTATTTTTTTTTCATCTCTATTTTTAAAGATTACATTAAATTACATAAGCGTCTCGAAATTCACATAATATGTATTCCAATAGAAATTGAGGTATATTATTTCCGAAAAGTTATTAGAAATGCTCAACTTATTAGAAACAAGTTCCAATTTCGTTAAGAGTACTTTTATTAAATCCGGTAATGTTGCTAAGGAGACTTGGGTTATTGTAAATGACTTAAGGAATAAGACTTCTTCGTCTGGCACCATGGACATAACTACAGGGGGTCCGGGGATGCCGTGCTCCCCCCATATACTGCTGGGCACCCACCAGAGAAATCCTGAATTATGACTCTTGCCTACGTATTAATTTTTATTTGCTTGTGATGCAGTAAAAATGACGTTTTTTAGTTTTGTTTAGTTAATATTATTTTGTTGTGTTCAAAAAATATGTTAATTTATATTTTTTAAAAAATTTGTAGGTATTTAAGTAATCTACGGGAACACGGTTTGAAACCTTTTTGAAATCAAGTCTGAAATTTATTGATAGAGAAATTCATGTAAACGTTTCATTCAAAAAATGTGTTTTTAAAATTATTTTTCATTTTTAAAAAACAAAAGCCCTAGGCCCCCCCTGGGCTCAACCCCAGGCCCCCCAGGATAAATTGCTAGTTACGCTAATGTCTGGCCCAGTCTTTAATTCACTTGAAGATTTAAACACTTACTTTGTTAATGTGGCTAAAAATTTAGTGAACATCATAACTCCTTCCCGTGATTCACTTTCATATCTCCCTAAAACAAATGAGAATTTACACAGTTTCTTCTTCACACCCGGCCCGTAGCATTAGATGAGCTCCGTAGTACAATTAAAAGTATTAAAAACAAATCCTCATCTGGGACTGATAGGCTTATTCTCAAAATGTTCTCTGAACTTCTGGAGTGCACATTAATCCATCTTACTACTTTAATTAACGAGTCATTCCAAAAAGAAGTTTTTCCAAACTGGCTTAAGACAGCAATAATTATTTCTCTGCATAAAGGAGGAGATAAAGATTAAAGATCAAGCTTCGAACTATCGCCCAATTGTACTCCTGCCCAAATTATCTAAGATCATTGAATGATTGGATAAAAAAGGCTTCTATCTTTTCTCCTAAAACATAAAATACTTACTACCCATCAATTTGGATTTCTAAGTAACAGTTGCACAAATAATGCTATGTTCCACCTTTTTAATAATATATACTCTAGCCTGAATAACCATCACTCTACAGCTACAATTTTCTGTGATTTCTCTAAGGCTTTCGACTGTGTAAATCATAATATCTTAATTAACAAATTGCAATACTATGGATTCAGGGGACCGCCGCTCGAATGGTTTAATTCATATCTTGGCAACAGAAGGCAGCTTCTGAGGATTGATACGTCTATATATCTTCTTGTAAGTCTATAGAATGTGGTGTCCCTCAGAGTTCAGTACTTGGCCCTAATTTGTTTCTGGTGTTTATCAACGACATTGCAAATCTACCTGAAATTGCAAATCTACCATTGAAAATCTGGCTCTTTGTGGACCATACTAGTTTCATTTGGAGCGGCCCAGATGTTACGGCACTATATAATACTATATCCAGTGACTTACGCACCATTAAATCTTGGTGCGATTCTAATCTCCGATGCCTCAACCTATCAAAAACTAAAGTTTTGTGATATAAAAGTACTATACAACCTTTTGTATTTAATAACACCACTATTGACGTCGTGGACTCTGTGAAATTCTTGGGACTTATTGTAGACAACTCGTTAAAATGGGACTTGCAAATCGAAGCTCTATCAAAGAAACTAGCCTATTATGCCCATTTTGAGTCACATCTTCGTTATGCCTTTCCATTCTGGGATACTTGCTGCGCAACAAAATTTGATCATATTTTCAGACTTCAAAAGAGAGCAGTTCGATATTTATTAGGATTGAACAGTAGAACTCACTGCCTGAATTTCTTTAAAAATTTCAAAATACTGATTCTTCCTTCTTTATTCATTTTTGAATCCGTTTGCTTAATCCGCAAGTACATATCTGCTATTCCCGAAAGGCCATCTTACAACTATCCACTTAGGAATGCGGAGCACGATCTTTATCTGCCATCCCCAAACTCAGAACTAGTTAAAGGCTCAATACTGTAC